AGCTGCCTTTTAAATGGTGCTGGTCCTTAATAGAAACTTATTTTTAAAATGTTTTATTGGAACATGTCATAGTATAGGAACTCATTGTATAAATTATGTTATTTGTTTGGTTGCATTTCTTATTAGGAAGATTTAATTTTTCATTATTGTTGCTTATTATTACAATAATTATTTACTTTAAAAAATTTAATTTGCAAATTATTTAAAAAATATTGTATGAATTTATGAAAATATTCGTATAATTATAGTTTATAAGTAGATTTAATTTTGTTGGTTAGTTCATTTAAAATAATTATATTATATTTGAAAATTATTTCTATTTTTATGTTGATCCACCTGCATATGATCCACAATTTCATATTCTTAATGTTGATATTGTGGATCCACATATTTGATAGATTCGATTAGATAAAAAATATTATTTGACCCGGTACATATAGATCAGGTGTTTACATATTGATAGATAAATAGATAAAATTATTATTTACCTGTAAATGTGGAATCGAGTGTTTTAAATCAGATTGAACTTGATTGGCGGAGTTTGGGTAGTGATCTCTTACCACTAGGGAATCTGGTAAATTTAAACCTAATCCAAACCCATTTTTTGGTGGATTCGTGTAGTTGATTTTAGTAACCCGCATTGATTCCCGTTGGAGCAGATCCGGGTGGTCAGATGGACGGGATAACGGGGAGCCTGCTACCTGCTTTGTTTACCCATATGATTATTGGCAAATTTTTATGTCAAGGGTTAACAATTACTCAATTTAATACTTAACATTTTTGGGTGAATTATATGCCACAAGAAATATATATACTACTATATATACTTTACTATAATATAAATAATTTATACTTTAAACATTCTATACAATATCTAATAAATTAAATTCATAAAAATATAATAAAAACAAATTTTGTATATAGATTTATGTCATTGTTCTTAGTAATTTAATTAAATGCTTTTTATAGTGTGATTTAAGTTATGAAGTTTATAAAAATAAAAAAGTTATTAACTAAAATAGAATGTTAATAATGTAATAATTAAAATTTATTTAAATTTCTTACTTATCAACGATCACTATTTAAAACTTCTAATGATAATTATAATTTAGATCTTAATTTCAATATGAATCATTGTGGAATATTGAAATGCTAAATAGATTTTTAGTAAATTTATAATTATTGAACTCGTATAAAAATCACAAAAGAAACTTAATAAACTATAATTACCAATTAGATCTTAGTACCATTCTTTTTATTTTTTTATTAGTATATCATATATATTAGTAACTTATACTTAAGAAATCTAGTGTATATTAGATAAACAATCATAATTAATTATAACCTATCTAAGTATATTCTCTAAATAAAAAAATATTAAATTAATACTTTTACATAATACTGTTATTACCACTTACTGAATAATATTTGAAATATAATTCTAGCTTTTAAATTAATAATTATTTAATAATAATAATATTTAAGGATAATAAGAAATAATAATATAACAAAAATAACTAATTTTCCGATCAAAACGACGTTGAGTTTGGATTTAGGATGGCTTAAATGAATCCAAAACAAACTTTACGTCGTTTAAGCCCAGGGTTGGATTTAATCATAAAAACAATAGTCCTTCTCATACAACCCAACTGAAAACGTAAATTTTCTCCCTCCCTCCATCCCCTCCTCCCTTCGCTGCTTCCCGCTCTTTCTGCACTTCTTAACAGCCGAGTCTTCTTGGAAGACCTTCCCGTTGCTTTCGTTCTTGGCCATCGCCTCCTCGGGCAGGCGTGCTCTTCAGCCACAGGGTTCGTTCTAGATTTTTTTTTTAAATTTCTCAGTTTTTTTTTTCCATTTTTGCTCGTTCCTTTCTTCTTTTTTTTTCTCCTCCTTTTTATAAACACATTATAAACAGACAGAGATATTGTTGAATTGTGTGATTAATTCTAATTGGCAGCTTATTAGTGGGATTTAATTCTACAAGAATAAATAGATGGAATTATTTAATTGTACCGTTAAAAATAAATAAATAAAAGCATGTATTTAAAAGTTGCTATGGATGTTTCTGTGTGAACTTCATTCTTCTTTTAAATTCTGTTCATTTTGTCAAGTTGGCATTCTATTCTCTAGATGGAACACCTTTTTTTTATATTGGAATGTGTACATTGCTACTTAGTTTTTTGTTTCTATGAACATATGGTTTTGTTTGACTAAGAAATGGTACTTTCTGCATATAACAATATTTGCCAAAATAGGTGCATAGCTTTTTGTCTTCCCACCTTCCTGGTTTTTTTATCTTTTTGCCTGTTTGTATCCGTTTTTTCTAAGCCTATAGAAGCGTAAATTTGTTGTAAGTAGGAAAATAAAAAGAGCAATGATTAAAAAGTCTATGGATATTTCTATGTGGAATGCTGATTCTGCTGTGAATTTCTCCTTTTTGCTCAGTTGCATTATCATCCTTTCTAGATGGTTGCCACCTTTTTTACATTTTTGAATGTATAACATTGCTGACTTAGTTTTTCATTTCTATGTTAGTTTTTAACATTTACTATACTGACCATACTGATTTTATTTGACTGAGAAAATGTTACTCCCGTCTGCGAGAACAATATTCGTAAAAGTTGTATAGCTTTTGTCTTCCCAATTTCCTATTTATTTGTTCCCTTATTTTTATTCATTTTTCGAGCTTGCTAAGCCGTGGTAAATTTGTGTTGGTTGTCGTTAGAACATAAAAAAATCATCGTCTAATTCCTGCACATTTGTTAAACTTTATATTCATGCCATTTGGAGTTTTCCCACTTTTCTCGAGGATCAATTGGATCCCGTAGCACGACCGAGCGCAATCAAGGATTTTGATGGAAAGAGCGTTCTATCAGGATGATTATCTGCTCATGTCGTTACGGGCATCAAAATGTACCACCAGAGCCACCAAAATACCTAGATGGAAATCAATTGTTAGCAATGGTTTTACCCTTAGCTAGTCTAAGGATGAGGAATCTGTTTAGCCTTTGTATCATTAATGCTCTAAAGCCATCTCAATTGCTTCTGTTTAATACTTGTTATTTTGAGGCTGGGTTGATGCTGAAATGATATTTTTTTAGCCTGCCGTTGACCACTGGATTATTATTTGAGATGAGTGATTTTGCCCCTTTTTTGATTACTCCCCACATTTTGAATATTAAAATTAAATTGGTATGAAACTTCTTTTTTCAACTTTGCTGTTAGTTTTACTTTTTGCTTGTTTTATTTTATGATGGTCATTGGAATGGCACAATTAATCCCAATTTAAAACTGAGCCTTTCTTGGCTTTTTCTTGCATTGGTAATTACACAACTGCCGTGCATAATATCCACTTTGTATTTCTGCCTCTGCTCTAGCATGAAAACTTTTTAATTCGAAGGCATGTGTAATGCGATTGTGGACGGGAATTTTTCTACAAACCCCATGCAGGACACTGATTTGGCTTGCTGAAATGTTAACTGTGACGAATCAACCATGGCTTGGATTTATGAAGAATTGATGATGGTTTCTGGATTTCGAAGTGAACAGCATGGGATGGAAGATTTTGAATTTGAGAGAGGAAAAGTAGTGTTCTTGTGAATTAGCCTGACTGGTTTGTTTTTCAAAACTTTTAAGGCGTTTCCTAATGTACCACTTTTTCTCTACTCTTCCTCTGTTTGGTATGTTCTGTCTCAATTTCCTCTGCTTGTTTTAATCGATGATGGGAGACAGAAGTACAAGAAAGCTGTCTGTATTTTAAAATTTGTCTTTAGGCTGTACATGCGCTGATTCGTCTCTGATTCGTTATTGTTCCGGCTGAAAAGTGTGAGTTGAAAGTTTATGCTCTTGGATCTGTTTGTGTGCTTCCACATTCTATAAGCCAAAATGGCTTTTTGCGAGAACGAAGCTTTCACCCATTTCATTACTACCTTCTCAGTATCTTCTTATTGCAAAGGCCATTCTTTAAGCCATCGATCATCTCTTCTATTCCTATTATGTTTATAGGAGAAAGAAGAAAGAGCGACAATGTTTAGATTATGTCGTTTGCTTAAGCATCTTGAGGAAATTGAAATTTGTAAAGAAGATTGAAAAAGCGTGCGGCAACTATTTTCATATGAGCGTATTGCAGTGGGGGTGCATTTGTAACTCTAATTGTCCCAATTTGGCAGAGCTCCTGCAAGCTATGATGGAGATTTTAGAATTAGATATTTGTTGCCAATTCAAATGAAGAATTAGAATAGTTATTCAGAGTGGAAAATGTATTTTTCGTATTAAATTTTCACGTGCAAATGGCATGCACAGTAGTTTTTTTATTATATTAAATTTTATTAAATGATTTTCATTAATAAAACCAAAAAGTAACAAAAATTAAAAAGATTAGGCACCAAAAGTATAATTAAACTCCCAGAGTAAAATGAATCCTCTTACCTAGATTTTTTAAATGACAGTTAATTAATTGACTTTGGGTGTACAGTTCCCCTACATATTTGGAAAAAAAATAATTTCTTCAAACAATTTTTGTCATCCTTAATTAATTCAAAACTAATTAATGAAAAAGGATACAAAGATAGCCAATGACAGTTATAAAATCTCCTTTGAGGAAGTAGAGCTAGAAAGTGAGCAAAACAATCAAAATAAAAAATAAGGAAAAAAAAAAAAAAAAAAACAAATAACACGCTTGAATCAAAGAATTTGTTTGAAAGAGAAGCAAGTTAAAGAAAACTCTAAGCATTGGGTCTCCTCCTACCCAAGTTGAAACAGCACTTTAAATCTAGACCTTGCAGAAAAAAGAGCACTCCTGCGCTGCATATATAACAAGAAGTAGATTGGTGGTGTAATTGGTCGCTGTTGTTTCACTCTGCCAGTAGCACTCTTTGCCTATTGAAAAATTCATAAGATCCTGCTGTATCAACCGAAACCACAAAACGCGACCCTAAACTAGCCTTTGCACTTAGTTTCTCTAACAGCTTACCTTGGACTTATCCCTCTGCATCTTTCACCTTCAGCTTGATGAGATTAGACAAAACCATCTCCAATGGCTTCAATTGCAGGCCCTGTCAGATATAGGACTATTCTTGATGCACAGCTTCTTCAAAGCAGAGAATTTCACAGCCGCAATAAGAGTCCCATTTCATTAATCTCAACAGAAATTTTTCAAGGAAAATTGGGGCAAAAATAAGGGGGGGGGGCTAATCTTTCAAAATGTCCGGCAGGGAAGCCACAAAACAGTGAGAGAAGGAGAACACTTATAGAAGTCCATTAAGGAACTAGTTCTTGCCAATTATAGAGCAGTTGCATTTGCTACAGATAAAACAACTCCATCAGTCTCCTATGCTTACTGCCACCGAAATCTGCTCCACGCATCTATGTGTAGCTTCGCTAAGATTCTTGCAAGAACTACAACTGCAGACAGGCCCCATCGTCCGCTACAATCACTGGTTCGGTTGAGCTGCAAGAACTGAAGTTAGGCAAGAAAGCAGAGATGGCAATAAGACCTAGCAATCACCCATTTGCACATTCTCCATTTGGATCTCAGAAATGGCAGTAATGTTCCTTGGATGACTCTGGAGCAACCTTGTCCCAGTTTCCAGAGCTCCTGCAAACAATAGGGATTTCAAGGCTTTGACAGAAGGAAATACAAGAGGAAAAAAATCGAGCATTTGTGCAGTCTTTGAGGCAGAGGAGTTAAAGTTTATTGTTGTGGTCAATAAACAATGCCATCAACTATGAGCAGTTTCCAGTTTTCCAAGACGCTTGAGTAGTAAGACTGGCTGGAAGAGAAGGGCAGTTAGTTGAGAAGAAATTAAAGTCCTCTTGCTTCCAAAACCCACACGAAGCCAATGAGATTTCTGGAAAGTAAAAAACAGGACGTTGCTTTGAGTGAATGCCTTCTAAACCCTATCATACAAGAAATATCGACGCAAAACCCTTAAGCCTTAAGCTTGTTTAAGACCAAGCAAGAAAGATAGGAATCGAATGGACAAGGAATGGGTCGTCAATGCTGAGGAGCTATGCGAGAGCATCTTGGAGAGAAAGAGTAGAGACAGAGCTAAAGCGACGAAGTAAACCAGGTAAAGGAAGAAAAGGACATCTCTCACAAGCGAGAAAGACAATACTAGACGGGTTTCTAGATATGAATCCAAGCACAACAACCATACGCTTACAAAACAAGGAGAGCCAAAGAAGTTTCCTGTCATTGGCAACAAGGTTTCCCAAATATAGTGGCCAGGCGATTCGTCAGCAGAGACATTGTCATAGATCTTCATTGTTATTACACTGTTTTCTTGGCGATGACAATAGAAGGCTTTCTTGACTACACAAGGAGAAAAAGAAAGAGGAGGCTTGTCCTATGTTCAGACTGAAAAGCATTGCTACCCAGTTGCTTGTTTTCTTCAAAGACACCAACATTCATTATTTCCTAAAGAAAATACAATTCATGACAAAAAAGCTACTTCATTTCCTGGATACCCAGTTGCTTTGGTTTTCTTCCAGAACCTCCATATAATACTTCATTTTCTTGGATGCAGTTTTGGGACTCGCAAGCAGTGAAGAAGGAGAAGATCGTCGACACTTCAGAACGTTCCTTGATGGACTTCAAACATTTCTGCTTTTAAATAGAAGATAATATGGTGAAAAGTGTGGGAACCATGTTTGAATTGTATTTGATTGAGATATGGCTCGCTTCACATACTGGTTGGGCGCTTGCTAGAATGCCGTTACTCTCAACATTAATAAAAAATAAATTAAAAATAAAAAGAACTTTGGTCGTCATAATCGCTGAGGGGTCCATCCTGCTTCCAAAGCTCTAATTGCCTGTCTTGCTAGTTCCATAAAACTATAATTATTGACCTTTGTCTTTTCCTTTTCTTCTTTCACTTTGTTTGAAAAAAAGATGCTCTGCCTGGCCTCCTTGCCATGTATGGAGCAAATTAAGGGTGACGAATAAACTTCATTATGCAAAACCAATTAGTTATACGACAAGTGCCACATCAGTAGCAGTGACAGTAGCTCAAAAATGTCATTAGTAGAAAAAACTACTTTTCCTCAACTATTCAACTGGGACTGAAACTTGCCGGGTAGCATTTTCATTATCAAAATGTCAAAATATATTCCCTACTCTTTATCTATTTATAGATTTAACCATTTTAATTATTAGCCTCTCAAAGAGCTAAACTTACAAACAAAAATAGAGAGTTTTGATTTTTTTTTTTTAACTTTCTTTGGATGTTGTTTTCTTTACTACGTTACAGCTTAAATTAGAAAAGGGAAAAAAAACAGGAAAATTGGTTGAAAATAATAGGATTAGCTCCTTTTGGAATATTTCAAAGTAATGCGCAAACTTTTTATTTTTCTTTGATCTTTGTACATTCATATTATTGATTTTTTATTTTTAAATTGATTGGTGGTTGCATCCTTCATCCTAATTAATATTTATCACAAATGTTTTTGAGCTATCATTAATATATACCATAATTTAATTTTGTTAAGAGAAGTAAATCCTAAAAAATTATTATAGTTAATATTCCACTTGGAAAATTAAAATTATTTTACATCTAATTATTATAAATCTTTTTAAAAAACTTGTGCAGTTAATGCGAGCAAGCCAACGAGTGTAATTTTCACTATGTGATCTAAAATTCGGACGTGTGCAAAACGAACTTGCAACCAGATTATCGACCCATTTTGATTTCGGCATCGGTTTTAACTATTTAAAGAGAGGCTAAGTTTATCCGATTTGAATCGAAATTGTTCTACTTTAGTATTGAATCGGTTTTACGTAGAAATTTCATTCAGTTGGATTTAAAATCAAACTAATATGATAAAAAACCAATTAAAATTGGCTCAGGTTGACTGCGTTTGATTTGAGTGATTTAGTTTTGAGATTGCCAATTTCAATTCTAATTAAACAGATGTTGTTGTAAAAAAAATTTGTCGTATTTTTTAACTTGATCAAAAACCAAATTGACCGATTGCCACTCCTATCGTAAATAATATTGTAATAGTTGAAGTCTAGTTTATTTGAAAAAATATATTATTAATTAATTATAAAGGATAATTTTGTGATTAATTTTTTGAAAGGGAAAAATAATTTACAACATTAAGAAATAGCAGAATGATAACTATTTAATAAATTTTCAATTTCAAACGTTGCAATTGTGTTTAAAAGGAGAAGCGTGTCCGAAATATTCCCGGTTTTGCTTCTTACTTCGTATTTCTCCCACGTCTCAACTGTCTGGGTTTCTTGGCGGCAGAATCGTCTCCTGTTCTCCTCCAATATCTCGAACGTCGGAACTAAGATCGGTTTTATTTCCATTTTCAACTACCAATCTGAATCCAGGTTTGTGCTTTTCTCGTGTAATTTCGGCAGCCTGGGCTCTATTAACATTTTTACAATCTGATAAATTCCAATTTGTTCCTCATCTGCAAAAGATTTATGGGATTGATACAAATTTCTTCATGTATTGGTCATTGGAGCTTTGAAATGCGGCTTGGACTTCCCTCCAAGCTTTGGAAAACAGCCTTTCCAGTTTACGATTCCAGGTGGACTTTAACGGTACCCGCCACTTCCTTTCTTTTTTTGAAGTTGTTGATTTTTTTTTAACTGTCTCTCGTTTGATAGTTTATGACACTGGTGACTTGCATGACAGTTGATTTTTGGATGAATGCGTGAACGAGTTTAACGAATTCTACATGTTGATTACGTGCCTTGAGTGCCTTGGAACAAATAATCTATAATATTTAAGTAGTAACTTCAAACTCTGTACATAAACACCTGCTGTTTGCTAGATTAGCAAAAAAAGAAAAGAACAAAAAAAAACAAAGAAAAAACAGTAACATATAAGCACTTCTAAAAGGAGCTTAAGCACCAGTAGGTGCTTATGATTTATTTTAATATGTTCCTTATTATCTCTTCCAATTCTTTTTTTTCCCCGTGTTGCTGATATTTACTTGTTTCGTACGAAAATCATCAATAATTCTTCACAGTATTGGGATTCGCAGAAAAAAAATGTTATTTGAGTTTTGGTCGTATTTGTTATATTTCTATTTTCAGACTTAATTGATTGATATCAATCGTGATGTTCCACTCTATTTTTAGTTCATGCAATTCTCTCTCATTATATACTATGTGACTCTTTTTATTGTGTCCTTAAATGCCAAGCTATAAACTTTTAAAATTAGAGAGCTATTCTGTAATTTAGACCATATCTTCCTCTGTCGAAAGAATTATATAAATCCAAAGTTTGTCCAACCTTACTGGATATTGTATTCATTGTCTATTAAATAACCATACAAAACGCAGGTGCCAGAACCAAACAATTAAGTCTAAAATAACAACAAGTACAATGAAAAATCTTGCTTTCTACATAATAAATAGTTCTGTTGAAATGGTTTCGAGTAAGGGACGGAGATTACATAATTCTTGTTTGTATGGCTGTCACACTGTAATATCCTTTTTCATTTTTGTCATGCTTATTGTATCTCTTCTTTGTGTTTTTTATTTTTTTACTTATCTTGGTATTATTTTGTGAAATTTCCTTATTGGTTTTGATGGATGTAAGTTGAAGATGAACTTGGGAAGGCTTCGAAGAAAACTCGGTCTTCTGCATTGCCACCCGAGTAAAGTGCCATTTGGTTGTTCTTTCTTTTTTTCTATTCTTTTCAAATTTCCTTTTCATGAAACAAAAACTTAATCCTCTTGCCTTGTAAGGTGCAACTGGAAATGGTCTAGGAACATTATTAATCACTCCAAGCATCCAAAATCAGGGTAATGAAAATACACACGATGATTGTTGCATTTGCAATTCTATGGTGTTCTACCCTTTTCAATTCTTCAACAAAAAAATTGTGTTTCATAATGGAGTAGTACTGTGGGTAGCCTCATCATTGATATCTTACAACGTTTTGTCTATTTGGTGATGACAGGGGGGGAGGGGAAAAAAAAACCGACGCTGTTATCCTCCTTGTCAATGGAGTTGCTCCATGAACTTTCCCATTGCGTTCAAGCAATTCTTATAACATCTTGGTTTTTGGGAGATATGTTTGTGAAGGTAGATATTGTTAAAATGAATATATTTGGAAATTATTTTCAAGAATTCTTCTTCTTCTTCTTCTTTCTTCTTCTTCTTTTTTCTTTCAAAAGGAACACATGGATTATTGCTTTATTGCAGTTATTTTCTGACAAAAAAAAAAGGGAAAAAATTAACCTTCCTCTTCTATGTCCGAATCTACCTAGATTAATCTTTTCGCTTGACCAAAATAATTCCTTCCTTTCGATTTGATTCTCTAAATGATTTTATAAGTAAGATTCAATACTGATACTTGGTGCAAAATAACATGATTGATACAAACATGAGCCAAACATAATACTTCGGCCAATAATAGTAAATTAATATGTTATTTATTTGATTCGTTGGGTGCAAAAATATGAATATGATTTGATACAAGACATGGCAAGACATAACACTTCCTGTATTAATAATTTTGATAGGTTTATTTACTGTCTTGAATAGCGCAAGCACCGCTGTTAGCATTTAGAAACCTCTGTACCACCTAAAAAAAAAAAAAATAAGAAAGAAATACAGATTGATATTAAAACCCCAAGAAGTAGTAGACAGAGTAGAAGTTTAAAATAGAACTTCTTTATTAGAAACCACTCTTTTTGCGTGATTACAACTAGCATAGGATAAAGCTGATTATAGGTAAAACTAGCACTTGCAACTACCAAAGAAACTTAAATGCTAGGGGTTTGAAAGCTTAAGCGTCTAAATTACATAAGAGAAACGTAAGCTCTAAATGCAGACCAAGGAACTCTTAAATTTATATTGAACTACTAAAGCATAAAGTAAGTAAAGTAAATTCTTAGATACTTTAACACACCCTAATGATGTTGCTTGAGTTGTCTACAGTTCTATTTCTTGTTTATTTAATTTTATGCGGACTACTCTTACGGACCAGCTGTGGCATGTGACTCATATATATTGTTGGCGATACAAAGTCACTGATGAAAAACCAGAATTGTTTAACTTTAGTGTTGGAAACCTAAAGAAAAAGGTTTCCTGGCATGGTCAAAATTTTTTAGGAAGAGCAAAAGAGGCACATTGTTTACAAGTCAATATTATTTATTATACCAGAGACATGGTTCTGCATTGATATGTATTTTTCTAGATATTTCTTTCTCATTTCAATTTCAACCATATTCAATAATTAGTCTGCTGGCCTCCTTTGATTGCTTATTTGAAAACCCTTTTTTTTTCATATAGATGGG